CCTAAAAAATGTTGGGTTTGAGTACTGAGACAGAAAAGGTTTAATTTTTTTTACTCACAAATATACTCTAGATAAATGTGATGCATAATCCTTTATAAAATGTTTTCCCTTGCCAGAAAAACATTAAATATCAGGAAAAGTGTCCCCAGATGGATTACAGAATGGCAAATACATCTCAATGGCATTTTTATTGTTGTTGTTATTACCTGACTAAGTAAAAATAGAAGTGTCTTCAAAGGTGTCTTTCTCTGGAATGAGCAACTCAGCACAAAAGGATGTACATGCTGAAAAGGTTACAGTCAATGTATTATGACTGTATACACAGCATCTCTTCATTTACAATGCCTTGTCTCTCCTAAGAAAGCTCAGGTTGTAAATTTTGTAGACTTCTACAGCACCTTGCCCAATGGGACTCTGAATGCAAATTTTGGATGCCACTTAAAGTATGAGCAATCAGAATTATACAATTGACTTTGCTGTTGCCTGCAAGAAAAAATGATTTCTACTTCCTTTCAAGGCCAAGAGGTATAGCTGAATGTTGCAGCCTCATGTGCAGAAGGCAGTTTAGGGCTGGTCTATTTTGCTTCAAATAGTATCTGTCAGGGCTAAAGAGACAAAAGGACAAACTCCTGAGCATGTCTTTGCCTTCCCTCCCTCTGATGAGGAGACTGCATCTTCCTATTCCCTTCCTTCTGAGATGAGTCCCATCTCTCAGACTGCACCTCCTGATTCATCATGATGCCATTTTCTTCTGATGCATGATTCGTGGTCCTTTATAAAATGTTGTTCCTTGCCAGAAAAAAAACCCATTAAATATCAGGGAAAGTGTCCCCAGATGGATTACAGAATGGCAAATAGGTCTCAATGGCATTTTTATTGTTGTTTGCCTATTTGCCCCCAAATAGCTCATTTATACTGCTTGCCTCTCCCCTTACCATTAAAGTTCCAAGTGGACCATCAGTTTGCCGAGGTAATGGGTTTTCACAGCCAGGGAAAGGTAAGCGCCAAGGATTATTAATAGTGTTCCTCGATTAGTTAAGGGAAAGATAAATGTGACACCACCACCAAAACCCCTGAATATCTGATACCAATGAGGAGTGGGTATCACTTGCCGAAAATAGAAAGAGCGAGAGAGATTATATAAGTGGGGTTCCTATCCCCAGTTCCACCTCTTTTTGACCACCTCCCTATCTAACACCCTTTTCAAGCGTGCTTAGGAGACATCCAAGAGGTAAGTAGCAAGAAAATGCTCAAACTTCCACAGCAAACGCGGATTCGCCAGCTCCCCGCAAGAAGCAAAACCTTCGCCCGAAGGAAAGTAGATAAGGATATCTCCCATCACTTCGACCCCATCCCCCTTTCCACTAACAAAAGCACAGAAGCAAAGAGATGCCAATCTCCCAAACACTGAGGAATGGCTTCCCGCAGAGAAGACGTCTAAGGAGAAGAAAAGACCATTAAAAGGAGTCAATAGGTGAACACATTGAGGGGGAACGAGGAGAAAAGGAGGGGAGAAAGTGAGAACGTGGAAATAACAAAACAGGGAAGGGGAGGGAAGAAGGTGAACGAGAACGCGAGCAAGGGCTCGGTGAACAGAACTTACTGAAATGCCCAGCCGTGAACGGAAGGCAAAAAAACCCCATCCAAAACACATTGAGAAATGGCATCTCTCGTTCTGTACAGACGGTCGTAAGCGATGGGATGAAGTTGCTCGCTTTGATGTGGTCATTAGGAGGCTAAAGGAAATGTGTCACCCTTTTTGCGAAGGACCCTCGGCTTTCTGCTTCAACATTTGGCGTGAGGGCTTTGTGCTGTTCAGGAAATTCTCCCTGAATTGTTTGCTTTCAGCAAGGGCAGGTTGATTTCTACCTTGTTTATTTGGTCGTTTACTTAGTAAGAATATCATCGTTCTGGAGCTGGTGGAAAGGGGAGTTGACCTTTTGTGCAGACAACTTGGAAATCCACGGTGTGGATTTGCAAATAGTTCGGGCAGGAAAATTGGCAAAATCTCAGAAGCAAAGGAAAAGGCGTCATTCATCTCGCGGGGATGATGAGAAAAAGGTGAAGGGTCGAGTGTGAATCTGGCAATTCGTGAAACGCCTTTTATGTTAGAATAACAGTTTTTGGTTAAATCTGCTGGAAGTTTGCTAGCTGTCCTTAAACGGACGCAGTGCCGAGGCTAGAGAGGGACCTCGGCCGCTCCTCCGGGTCAGATCCAGCTGTCTGCCTCGCAAACCTGTTGTGCCTCTGCTTTCACTTTCCTGGCCACGGACGGTACACGGTGCCTGAGCCGGGACGGGGAGCGGGGGAATGTTATTTACGCTCTACAGATGGCTCCACCTGATCCGAGGCCTCATTTTTCTGACACCTCTCACTTTTCGCCTCCGCAGCACGATTAGGCCGTAGAGGCCTGGCAGATCCGCTGACGGGGGGAAAGCGGGGCAGTTCGCGCTTCGTTAGGGGCGCGGGGGGAGCCGCCAGGTCCCACCCCCAGGACACGGACTCGGAATGCGCCTCCGGCCGCTTGGCTTGGCAGGAGCCCAGTTAACCCGAGCGGTCTGCCAGCACAGCAGGCAGCGCTGCGCCAGCTACAGGCTTGAGTTACCCCCGAGGGCAAACTTCCAAATGTGCTCTGCCTTGTCAGCAGAGAGGGGTTAACACCGAAACTCGAGTCACCCGCAACGAGAGCATCCTCACTGGCGGGTGGTCAGGGGTGTTCCTGTTTGTAGGGACCTAAAAGGAAGCTCTGTGGCTTGATGAACGAGGATACCTCAGCAACGGGTTTGAAAATGGTCGTAGGAAAGGGAAAAGACCTCGGGATTCTGCTCCTCCAGCCCGCACCGCTGCTGCACGCAGCAAACCAGGGAAGCGGAGGGCGATGTGGTGTCGGGCCGGCCCCACCTGCACCGAGAGCAAGAAGCGATTCTCCTCTCTTCTGTCAGTTAAGGAAAAGTTAACGAACGCCAATTACATACGATCTGGCACACCGATCTCTGGCAAACACCTGTATATTGATGGGTCTACTACTATTGATTTAATCTATGCATAAAACGGACTAACGATAGGGTTTTAACCTGTGCTAGACGAAGCGTTTTGAACTCGGTTCTCCAAGCTGAACTCCCCTAAAGCAAGAGAGCTGAGTACTGGCTTCACTGCACCCTTCCACCTCCCTACTCCCCGACGGGGGCCGCTGAGTGAGAATCACCCATGTGGGAC